GCCACAACTTGAGTTCCAAGGCAGTGCAACTTGCCTGTTAAGAGGGTGGAAGTTCAAGTTAACCCAAAAGCGCCATAGAAGCCTGGTGATCTGCTTAAAAAAACAAAACAAAACAAAACACCTCAAGCCAATGAAAACCCTACTGGGCACAGCTCTACTCTGACACACAAGAGGTTTCAACTCAATGGCAGCCAATTTTGACTGCACCAGTGACACTAAGAAGGCCAGGCTGCAGTAAGTTAATAACATAGCTTCCAGTCTTTTATCTTCAAGTTCTGTGACTGACCTTGACCTCAAATACAGAAATGAAAACTCTTGTCATTCTGTCACAAACACTTCAGATTTATGGCATCATTAATGAAATACATGTTTTCTTCCAGTGAGAAAATGTGTTTGAAAGTTAAATAGCAAGAAGGTTTTTAGTATGAATGAATGGGACTTTCTAAAGATTAAATTTCTGTGTGCATCAAAAACATTTTCCAGTAGAATGAAAAGGAAACCTATTGATGGGGGAAAAAACATTTGGCAATACCAATCCAAACAAGGGTCCCATATCAAAAGTTTACAGAATCCTACAGGGTCTCCACAAGGAAAAGACTTATAACACAATTACAAAACGGGCAAAAAACATCACGGGAAGGCTTTTCACAGAGGAAGACATTCAGATGGTCAAGAGACACATAAGAAATGCCAAAACTCACTGGCAATAAGAGAGATGCAAATCAAAACCACAATGAGATACCATCTCACCACAGTAGCAGTGGCAAAGTTTAATAGAGCAGCAAGTAGTAAGTGTTGGAGAGGATGTGGAGAGATAAGAACTCTTATACATTGTTCGTGGGATTATAAAATGGTACAATCACTCTAGAAGGCAGATAGACATTTCCTCAAAAAGCTGAACATAAAAATTCCATATGACCCAGTTATTTCACTGCTTGGAACATATTTCAAGAAAATTAGAACTGAGACACAAATGGAGATTTGTACACCAATGTTCATAGCATTATTGACCTTCACAAGAACATGGAAACAGCCACAATTGAATGGATTGAGAAATTGAGGTACATTCACATGATGGGATACCACACAGCATGTAGGAGCAATGATTTTGTAAATCACTACCTAACTTGTGAGGGACTGGAGAGCATTATGCTAAGTGAACTAACTCAGTCTCAAAAGGACAAATACTGTATAAAAACCATTATTGTGGAAACAGAAAGTAAACCATATATGAGGATCCAAGGTGGGGGTAGGGTAGAAGCAGGAGGTGAGGATGGGCAGGGGATTAATCACAGGGTCACACAACTTGATGGGTGAAGGGAGGGGTGGGTAAAGGAAATGGGAAAGATCCAGTGTGAAAAACAATGTATATGAATTTTGTAAGTAAACCAGGATAAAAGAAACATCTTATTTAAGAAAAAAAGGCTTTTAGTGAATCCAAGTGGGGAAAAGCCACAGAAGAAGGGTGATGCTAGGACTATATATGAAGTAACTCTGCTTAGCTGTAGCAAACCTATTTGATTAGAAAGATAAGGCTTCACAATCTTGTATGTCAATTTGGTCATAATCCTTAATATAAGGTAATTATTCTCCTCATTATTACATGAGTTGTAGGATGATATTAAGGACATCATCCATGAAGAAAGCAAAAGGTTGTTTATAAAGATAAAGGAGAAAGAAAAGATCTAAATGGATGTCAGAAGAAATTCTAAAAATTGTGCTAGAGCATCAAGAAGCCAAAACAAAGGCAAAACATGCTAAAGTAAAAGAGGTGAACAGAAGATTTCAAAGGGTAGCTTGAGAAGACAAAGCAAAGCATCATAATGGAATATGCAGAGAGCTGGAATTGGAGAATAAAAAGGGAAGAACTCACTCTGCATTTCTCAAGCTGAGAGAACTGAAAAACAAATTTAAGCATTGAGTCATATTGAAAGATGCTATGGGCAATACGTTGAATGACACAGAAAGCATTCAAAGAAGATGGAGGGAATATACATAATCACTGTACCAAAACCAACTGACTGACACTGAAAAATTTCAGGAATATGAACAGGAGCCAATGGTCATGAAGGAGGAAGTGGAAGCTGCATTGAAGCACTGGCAAAAACCAAGGCCCCAGGAATCGGTGGGATACCAACTGACTTATTTCAATTAACAGATGCAGCCTTGGATGTGCTCACCAGTCTATGCCAGGAAATTTGGAGGACAGCTGTTTGGTCAATGGATTGGAATAGGTTCATATTTGTTCCCATTCCCAAGAGGGGTGATCCAACAGAGTGTGGAAATTATCAAACAATATCACATGCAAACAAAATACTTCTGAAGATCATTAAAATATGGCTAGAACTACAAGAAGTTCAAGCAGGATATAAAAGAGGCTGGGGCACCAAAGATATCATTGCTGATGTCAGATGGGTGCTGGCTAAAAGTAAAGAATACCAGAAGAGTGTCCTTTTATGCTTTGTTGATTATGCAAAGGCATTTGACTGTGTGGATCATAACAAGTTAAAATTAAGAAGCATGGGGGGCAAAGGAAGAAAAAAGAAAGAAAGGGGGGAAAAAGCATGGGAATCCCAGGATACTTAATTGTGCTCATGCAAAACCTATACCTAGACCAAGAAGCTATAGTGTGAACAACGCAAAGGAACACTGTTGTTGTTGTTGTTAAGTGCCATCGAGTCGCAAGCGACTCATAGCGACCCTATGAAGGAGAGTCCTCGACGCTTGGGTGTCTTTCATCCTCTCTCCAGGTTCATAGGATTTCCGGAGGCAGTCTATTATGGAAGTGGATGTCACTCCTCCTTCCAAGCTTGTTTTAATCAGGGAGTTCCACCCCACTCTCTGTCCGCATTGGGTAGCCAATCATTAACGCATTTGACACATCAGTATCACAGAAAGGAACACTACATGGTTTAAAATTAAGAAGGAATGTGTCAGGATTGTACTCTCTCTCCATACCTATTCAATCTATATGCTGAGCAAATTAATCGAGAAGTTGGACTCTTTGAGGAGGAGTGTGGCATCAGGATCAGAGGGAGACTCATCAATAACCTGAGTTATGCAGATGACACAGCCTTGCTTGCTGAAACTGAGGAGGACTTGAAGCTCTTGTTGCAGAAAATCAAATACAGCCTTTGGTATCGATTTCATCTCAATGTCAAGAAAACCAAAAGTTTGACCACTGGAAGATTGCAACAGTCAACAACTTCATCTTACTTGGATCCACAATTTACACCTTTCTACCAGTAGTCAAGAAATCAGGAGATGTATTGCATTGGGAAAGTCTGCAGTTAGGGACCTCTCCAAATTATTGAGGAGTAATGATGTCATTTTGGGAACTAAGATGCGTCTGATTCAGGCTTTTCAATCACTTGCTATGCACCTGACAGATGGACAATGAATACGGGGGACAGAAGAACTGATGCCTGTGGACTATGGTGTTAGAGAAGAGCGCTGAACATCCCTTAGGCTGCCCAAAGAACAAACAGATATGTCTTGGAGAGGGTGCAGCCAGAGTGCTCTTTGAGGCAAAAATGATGAGGCTTTGCCTCACATACTTGGGCACGTTGCTAGGAGAGGTGTTTTCTTTTCTTTTTTTTTTTTTGTTGAGAGGGACATGATTCTCAGAAGGGTAGAGGGTTGGGAAGGAAAGGAAGACCCTTGACTGGGTGGATTGACAAGATGACTGTCACAATGGGCTTTAATGTGTCAAGAAGTGTGAGGAAGGCACAAGATAGGACAGTGTTCAGATCTGTTGTTCACTGGGTCACTATGGGTCCCATCTAACTTGATGGCACCTGACAACAATAAAATTTTCAGGTTGTAAATTCTAGTCTCTGCAGTGACAATAATGCAGCATTACATGTGGATCTGTAAAGATATTGATTAGCTTTATCTGATTAAGGCTAAGGAAACTCTGGTGGTCTAGTGTGTAAGTAGTTGGGCTGTTGTTGTTGTTGTTGTTATGTGCCGTCGAGTCGCTTGCGACTCCTATGTACAACAGCCCTAAACTCTGCTCTGTCCTGTGCCAATTGCACTGTCTCCGACACTCCCACCCCAACTATCCCAGTCACTGAATCAATCCACCTCATAGAGGGCCTTCCTCTCCTGCGCTGTCCCTCCACCCTCCCAAGCATGATGTCCTTCTCCAAGGACCGGTCTCTCCTCACAACATGTCCAAAGTATGTTAGACAGAGCCTCAGAATCCTTGCCTCCAAGGAGCCACCCGGTTTAACCCTTTCCAGGACGAATCTGTTTGTTTTCCTAGCAGTCCATGGTATTCTCAATACTCTTCTCCAGCACCACAGCTCAAAGGCATCAATTCTCCTTCTATCCTCCTTGGTCATTGTCCAACTCTCTGATGCATAACAAGTGATTGTGAAGACCATGGCCTGTATCAGACGCACCTTAGTCTCCAGAGAGACACCATTGCTCTTCAGTACTTTGGAGAGGTCCCTAACAGCAGACTTTCCCATGGCAATGGTAGTTGGGCTACCAAGGGTTTTTTTCCCTCCTTGAAGGGCAATCTTCTCCCACGCATTTTATAGCCTCTGAAAATCCTCTGAGGTGTGGGGTCAGCTATAAATCAGATTAAGGATAGGTTTCCTCAGACGTTCTGGATATTTCTGTTTGGGCTCTGGCGTAAAGATGTTTGGATATACCAGCCTCTGAAGCCCGTAACTTCCGAGCCAGCAGCCTGAGATCCTGCCTGCCTGCTGACACCTGGGACGTTTCCTCCTCTGATACCTCTCTTGAAGTCTGATCTACACCTGCGACTTGCATCCTCAGGTTCATGAATCATTTCCTTGAAATAAATCTCTTTTAACGTTCTTAGTTTTTCATTGTTCGAGAACCTAACCTAATACATTGTGCTGCTTTTTCACTACAGGAGAAAAATGCATTTATAGATTCACACTTTAAACGTAAGTAACTGCTTTCACTTACTCTAGTCTTATTTTCTAAAAAGTCCAGTGTCTAAACAAACACAACAACCAAAGCAGTGACTTCATGTGAGATTTTGTTTGCATTTTTTAATGAAGCAATCTGTGCAAACATTTTTTTTTCCCAACAGCAAGAGGAAAGAAAACAACCACACTTGGGTGCCTGGAAACACAGAATATGCTCTCTCAGTGCAACCAGATTTCAACGCAGTGGCAAGCAGTGAGGCAGCGACCAGGCTCTTAGTATTCCTCAGGATTGCTGGACTGTAAATCTCGCAAATAGGAATCAATTATGTTAGGAGGCACACCTTGCAAGAGGAGCCTGCAGAAGGAAAGCCCACCTGGAGGACAGAAAGGAAAAGAAAGAAAAATGTCAAAACTGACCACATGGGGTGAAACAGAATCGCTGAAATAACACTTTTTGCTTAGCTGCCTGGAAACGTGACTAATCATATTCAGTTAGCTGCAAAGATTCATTCAGTGCCTGCTTGGAAATCTCTTCCTGGTTTTAGTACATTTAGCATTTCAAGCACTTGGCATCTAGAAGGAAAGCAAGTTCCCAGCAGACCCATAGCAGTTTTGTTTCTCTACCCGACTGTTACACTGTTGTTCAAGCTTGATTTAAAGTCCTTAAAGGCTGCAAAGGTTTTGTGTTTCTTGTATAGATGACTGAAGTGTTCTGAGTCAATGGCAGAATGAATGCAGACTACATTATGGATCAGTGGGAAGATCTGTTTCCGGTTTGTTAATGTTTTTTAATTAAGCACAGAGAGTTCTAATCCAAACACAGAGGAGAGCAAATGGAATGCACCTTGAACTCTGGTGATTACACCTTCAAGGCATTCTCCAAAGTGAAAAAAAATTGGAAGTATTTTGTTAAAAATAGGAAGACCTATCCAATCTTTTCTGACAGGCAAGAGAAATGCCTACTGAAGCTTTATACTTACCTTCCACATTATATGGAATTATACTTGAAAAATAAAAGTTCTCTTTAAATAAACCCATGAAGCCATCCACACAAATTCATGGTCCTTTAAGAGAACCCTTGCTGATAAATTCACGTACAGACAGAAACAGCATGCCACTTGAACATTCTCAAAACATCTCTAATGCAAATTTGAGAACGTCATTCTCCTTTTAAAAAAAAAAATCCAAGTCACATGTTGGTAGAAATGATGCCATTTATGTACATGTCCATTCCTTGATGCAAAGGCGTCACAGTGCGTGGGGAGGGGGTCATGCAATTCCACCTATGTTAAGTGCGTTCATTCATGCCCTCATAAACGTGAACTCATAAACGTGCATTCATCAACGTGGAGTCATGTCAACGGGAGATTGTCGTGAGGAAGAAGCACAAGCTCTTAATGTCAAGATGCTGAAAGACAAGTTAAACCTATCGAGTTAGTGATTTCACAATCGTCTATTTTCATTGGATTCCATAATGAAAATCATGCCATACTCCACAGGCTTTGTATGGCTTATGACAGTCATAAGCTTCATATGCCAAAACCATATGAAAGCTTACCTTAGATGACACTATACATTCAAAAGTCCTTACTGTGCTACAACTAAGGGAGAGAAGGAGAGAGGGAGAGAGGGAGAGAAAGAGAGAAGTTGTAAGCATTAATACAAAGGCAAACACCAAGGTGGAGTATTTGTGGGATAAAATTATGGTCATGATTATGATGAGGAGGTTTCATTAATCCTTAGTCATGTGAAGGATGTAGGAAAAAGAGAAGCGCACGGAATGAAGGGCAGGGTGAATCCAGTCACTCCAAAGGATCATTAATAGGTCAATGATTGATTAATATGCACAACCACAAGAAATTGGTTTCTACCACTGTGTCTGAGCAGGTGGCAGAGCCAATTTGATTGTACAATGAGTATTTGTGGTAAGAGCTTCCAAACTATTAGCTTGAGAAAGAGAAAACCTACAACATATATATATTGTGTTTTTCAACAAAAGAAAAACATGGACAACAGACAAAGCATTAGTGGACATATATATATGTTGAAATTCTAAAAGGCAAAATTATCAAGTAGACCTAAATATTGAACTAGTGTATTCTCTTGTACTGTATTCTGAACTGATTCTGTATAACTGACCTAAAGAAACATAAGGCCTAGACAAACTTAGGCTACACGGTGATTAATATAAATTCTAGAAAACTCTAAAGAGATCTCTGAGTCATCCTTTGAAAGCTGACATCATCTCTGAAGATTCAGAGATCAAACATTATAAACTCAGGTTGAGATCTACTTCACTAGAGTTTATATTTGGTTTCTTAACTAGCCCCAAAGAACTCTTAATTTGCTCTTCCAAATGGGAGTGTGAATCATGCATACATCATGAAAAAAGAAAATAAAATAAAACTACTGCCACCGAGTTGGTTTGATTCATGGAGATGCTCTATGGGGTTTCTGAGGCCGGGAGTAGACTGTTCACCTTCTCCCACAGAGTGGCTGGTGGATTTGAACTGCTGATCTTTGAGCTAGCAGTGCCCCATTGTAATGCACTATGCCACCAGGGCTCCCTAAACATATGGCAGGACTAATTTCTAGCTTTATGCATTTTGTAATAGAGCCCAAGAGTTTCTGCTAATTCAGTTAGGCTCTTATATAGGTGAAATAATTTCAGTTCTATGAAAATGTCCAAAAGATGCAACCAGTAGATGAATTACAAATATGCTACCAATTACTTTGGAATTATAAACTCCAAAAGTGAAGGCTTTAAAAAAAAAAAGGGATATATTTTTATTTGGATCCTGTTCCCACAAAAAAAAAAAAAAGCCCAGAATACTTCTAAGACATAACAATTTTTAAAATGCTCAGTTTCTTGAGTTCACAATTCTAAAGAAACTACACTGAAAACTATCTTCAATAGAGACTCTACACTTGGAAAATAAACATATTAAAGAAATATCATTCATCCTCCAATTTTGATAGTTTACATATAAACAATAAGGTCTTCCTCAAAAATGGCTTTATACTGGGACTCGTAGTAGAGTATTTCATATTCTGACTTTGTTCCTAAGATACTTTATATCCTTGAATAATTTGGCCTTCCTTGTCCATGGCATAAACACGGTATGCCATGAGCCACTAAGAAATACCATTAAAAGCACATGAGAAAGACAAGCTTTACATGCAAAGTGCGTTTTCATGTAAGAGGAATGGAACAGAAAGTAGAAATAACCAGTGGGATATGAACTTTTTAAACCTGTTGCTGCCCCTCCAAGAAGACTGGTTGTCCAGGGGTATTTACTCCTTGATAAATCACTGCAGAATTAGAATATTTGTACCAGTGTTTATTTATTCTCAGTTGACATTCTTACCTTTTTTTTTCCTCTCACAATTTAAATTGATTCAAGTGACCTATTATCAGACGATAAACAATATTTCTAGGACCAAAAGCTTTTTGCCAAAATATTATAAAAAATATAGTAGCTACATTATAATGGTACCTTATAATGATAATACCATATAAAAATGTATTAGGATACTTAATTCATATAACTAACTTAAATTACAAACTATAAAACCATATCATCTACATACACAACATCATTCACGATTTTGGCACCCCTCCTTGCCCCTGTTGAAACTGCTGGAACTGTTTATGAAAATATCATGAGCAACATTCAACATTCAGTTATCTTCAGAGTTTTTATAAATGTAGTACTGTTTGGGGTCTTTTGGGTTCGTTTTTGTTTGGGGCATACTGAAATAGCAACATCAACAATACTTTGGAATAAATAAGAATGAAGTCCAGATACTTAGTGCATTTGCAACTATGATCTTAAGCTGCATTTCAAGCTAATAATGCAGCTTGGGGTGTTGCAAACATCATCTCAGTAGTAAGGTTTAAGACGTTTCTAAGAACATTACATGCTTTATATTTGAGGACTAAAAGCCAGAAAAGTAATTTTCCTCAGTTATGAGGAATTCACTCAGTGTAAGTAGAAGAATACTGTATTTTAAAAGTTACAAAAGAAAATTATTTCCTTGAAAGATGTTTCTCCGCTATATTTGTACTAAGGAGTGAAAACAATTCTTAACATAAACACTCTGAATATTTACTGTGATTTTCCAAAATAGCTAAATATAGTAGAGTTTTTTTGTATGGGCAAAGTCATAGCCTTTCAGATTTTGAGATACTTTCTTCATACAGAGTAGTAGGAAAAAGAAAAACTTTGATTATCACAGAATTACAACATAATACAGTAACCAGACAACATAACCCATTAATAACAAGAGAAAGCACATCAGAATCCTGTCACCTACTACCTCATCACCACTACCCTGGCAGGTATCAAAGTTTTCACAATATTCCAAAGAAGGTTTTGAATGTCAAGGGGAAAAATCCAAAATAAAAATTAGAGTCAATCAAGAAAAGGGTACTCGGGAGTGGGGGGATTGTATACCAATGAAAGAATTTTTCTTTTACTTTTCACAGAAAAGAGCGAACTTGGGGGGAGTGGTGGGCAGGGAGAAAAATGTAACAATGAATGAATGGAAATCAAAAATCTCTGTAAATGTTCATTAAAATTAATTTTTAAAAATGGTTTAAGATGGATGATTTGTTAGGATGTTTCTACCACATAAATCTTCATGTGCTTTCTCATTCTAAATTATGTGAAACACCTCTGAAAATAAATGTAAGCAAAATATAGACCATAAACAGGTAGATTTTAGAATTATGTATAATATGGGTTGCTATATCCTATATGCGTAACATTAAGTACTCAATTAGCAAACTTATTCATGCATATATTGACGTTTCACAAACAGTAAACGATTTAAAACTTAGCGTGAATTCCATAGTTGCAATGAGCTTTTTGCTCTCAGATCCTGTTACAGTAACTATGGCACGAAAGTCACTTCCCTTTGGTGTTACTCATTCTCATCATGCTGCATCTAGTATTCCACTGGAAGGAATATTCCTTTAGTCAACAAGACTTGCAATGGATAACAAGAAAATACTCATGAAGCTGGCTTACATAATTAAGTGGCCTTCAACAAACAGAATGAATGCAGAATGTAAACCTTTCTTCCTTTTCCGTACTTTCTGCAAACAATTTGGACTGTGCAGTGAGGACACAGTGATTTTCCTTACGTTTAACCTGTACAACGGTGCGTACCTTTCACCTCCAGCTTGCACTCCATCTCCACCGTGCCCAGGTCGTTGACTGCTTTACAGCAGTAGGTGCCTCCGTCATAGGGGCTGGGCTTGCGGATCTCCAGAGTGCAGACGCCCTGGTTGCTGAACATCCTGTATCGCGGGTCATCCACAATAGCGACTTTGTTTTTCATCCAGGTTATTTTGGGCTGATATTGAGATGGAAGAAAGTTAGGTCAAAGCATACTTAGATTTAGCATATTAGTAGTTCTTCCGAGCCAATGACAGCATTTTAAGCCTGGCTTGGCAAGAAAAAGATCTAAGAAGAATGCACATCTATTCGAGTGTGCTCCTCTTGAATTAAATTCTACTTTGTACTTGGCAAGAACACAAAGGGGCAGTCCTCCAGGGACGAAGAAAGGCTGATTTGTTCAGAAGACAGCTCCAGGCAAGCTTTGGAAACCGATTCAGTTGTGTATTTCAATTTAATCTTTTGCTCCATGATGTTAACTTATCCTCAAACCAGTTGCCATGGAGTTAATTCAAACTTAGGGTGATCCCACATATGTCAAAGCAGAACTGAGCTCCATAGTAGAACTGGTTCTTCATGGCTGGGAGCTCCTGGCAACAGATTGCTGTTGTTGTTGTTATTGACTGCTTTCAAGTCAAGCATGACTCATAACGACCCTATGAACAAAAAGGCCTGAAACTCCTCGACAACTATTGACATTTATTAAAGTTCACAGAGTTTCCGGAAGCATGTTCTTTAAGAAGTGGATGCCACTCCTGCTTCCAACAGATTACCAGCCCTTTATTTTGTGGTACCTCTGGGTGGGTCCAAGACATTAACCTTTCAGATAGCAGCTGAGCACTTAATTCATACTCCCTAAAAAAAAATATGAAAACCCAAAACCACTGCTGCTGTCAAGTAAGTTTCAACTCATGATGGCCTTATAGGATGGGGAAGAACAGTCTCTATAGGGTTTCTGAGGTCTTAAATCTTACTGAAGGCAGAATGCCACTTCTTTCTCCCGAAGGGTAGTTGGTGGACCAACACTCTGGCTAGCAGCTGAATGCTTTAAACACTATGGCACAGTAACTGACAACTCGGTTTATATTCTTACTTAACAATCATAACATGGAGGATACAAAGGAGGAGTTTGGGTTGGATTCCCAAGGTTAATGAATTTGATAAAAAGCCATGGTACCTTTGGGTTCCCTCTGACGCTGCAGTTGAGGGTGGCATTGTAACCAGCTACAGCGTAGGTGTTAACCAAAGGCTGGGTGAACATGGGCGCCTCGGTGAAGTCGAAGTCATCATACACTGGGTTTTTGTAGATTTTACCTTAAAAACAAAAATGAAAAGATCCACAAGTTGGTCTCAAAGTGTATTATCCTTGGCATCATTTAATCACCATTAAATGCTTCCTGAGCTTACAAAAACATGTACAAACAGGAGCAAATGACCCACTGGTCTCATGCAGCACAGCCAGTGCTTGAAGTCAAGTGAAAAATCAAAGAAATACAGAGAAACATTCAATGACCAACATCTGGTCAGAAATGTATTCCAGTGTGTAAGAAACAAGGTAGTGCTTTATAGTGAGTGGTTTATGATGAATGGAAGTGTTAGGGCTGGAAGCCAGCTGCTGCTTTAATTGTGAAAAAGTTCCATGTGTATAGAAGGAACAGAAGCCTAAGAAGTCAATGCCCGTTTCCCCCATCTCTGTCAGTGTAGCCGTTTTCTGACCAACTTCTCAAAAGTTTGAATGAAAGATTGCTTTCCTAGAGCTGCAACAAGTATATAGTGTAACTTGGAAAGTTTTCTTCAGAAAAGAATTTATTGGAATATTTTGACTGTCACTTAAAAAATGTGTTTAGGGAAACTAAGAAGGGTTAAATAACATGTTGCATTGAAACAGATCAGGGAGAGAACTGTTTAGGAGGACTATATGATTAGGTATTATTGTCATGACAGGAGTTCAGAATGAAACCTGCATGGTGGAGTGGACTGGGGGTGGGGGTGGGGGATCATATAACAATGAAATTTTTCTTTTTTTTTTTAACTTGTCAAAGAGAAAAGCGAACTGGGTGGGGAGGAGTGGGCAGGGAGGAAAGTGTGCAACAATAAAATAAAAAAATAAAATTCAGAGGCTAAAAAAAGTGTTTATTGTACTTTTGAACATTCTTCCTCAGAAAATGGTCGATTTCCTGGAACACTCTGGCTGCCTCTGGAAGGTGTGCTTATTCTAGCTCCTTTTCACCCTCTGCACTTATACACGCAGGCCCTGAGAACCAGCATTTCCCGCCCAGTGTACTCACCGTCCTTGGCGATCACAGCGCTCTCCTTAGTCATCGTGGCATCCTCGCTGAGGCCACACATGTTCTCAGCAAAGACCCGGAAATAGTACTCGTTCCCTATGACCAGCTCAGTAATGGTGGCATTGGTTCGGTGGTAATGCTCGATGACAGTGAACCACTCCTGAGGGGAGGGGAAAAGCACATAAGAAGTCCACAAAATTTCTCAAGCAACAAATGCTGGCGAGGTTGTGGAGAAACTGGAACACTTATTCACTGCTGGTGGGAGTGTAAAATGGTGCAACCACTGTGGAAGGCAGTATGGCACTTTCTCAAAAAGTTGCAAATAGAGATACCATTTGACTCAGCAATTCCACTACTGGGAATATACCCCAAAGAGACCATAACTGGCATCCAAGCAGATATATGCACACCCATGTTTATCCTAGCTTTGTTCACAATAGCAAAGAGTTGAAAACAACCTAAGTGCCCATCGACAAACGAATGGATAGAGAAACTGTGGTATAGTCACACAATGGAATACTATTCCGCAATGAAAAATAAGGAATTCATGCAATATTATTCAAAATGGGTGACTCTGGGGGACATTATACTGAGTGAAGTATCTCAGTCGCAAAAGGACAAATACTGCATGGTGCCAGGACTGACATCAGAGTTGGGGGGTGGGGAGACTGAGAAAGATGGGTTCAATAATGTATACTGCATTGAAACAGATGAGGGAGAAAATGTTCAAAAGGGATATGCAATTAGGTATTTTTGTCATGACAGGAGTCCACAGCAAAGGCTGCATAGTGGAGTGGACCTGGGGGAGGGTTTGTAAAACAATGAAAGAATTTTTCTCTTACTTTTCCAAGAGGGTAGTGTACAAGAGAGGGGTGTTGGAAGGGGAGAAATGTGCAACAATGAATGAATGGAAACCCAAAGTCTCTGTAAATTTTCATTGAAAATATTAATAAATTTAAAAAAAGTCCACAAAATTTCCAACTGGCTCAGAGATCCTTCATTAACAGAAAGAAAACACCTTGTATACAAACAGGGATCCTTCATGAGCTGAAAGAAAATACCACCTCAACAATTAGCATTTTATATTGAAAATAACACCAACGCAAATTTAGTTTGCTTACTATGATCATACAATCTACACCAGGGATGAAAAGGTGAGGAGAAAAAAAAAGGGGGGGCTGCTTTTATGGTTAAAAGGGCCGTTTTTAGATGCATCCTGAAATACAATGATATGACTGACAGGATAATATCCATATACATACAAAAAAAGACCTGTTAATTAATACAATTATCATTCAAATTTATGTAATAACAGCCAGAGCCAAGAGGAGGAAATAGATGTTTTCTACCAACTTCTGCAGTCAGAAATGGATCAAACAGGCAACCAAGATGCATTAATAATCATGGGTGACTAGAATGTGAAAATTGGGAACCAGGAAGAAGGATCAGTAGTTGGAAAACATGGAATTGGTGACAGGAATGAGACTGGGGATAGAATGGTAGAATTCTGTATAATCAATGATTTATTCTAGCAAATACTTCTTATAAAAAATATAAACACAGGCTATACATATGGATTTCACTTGATAGTATGCACAGGAATTGGAATGATTATATCTGTGGAAAGAATAGTTGGAAAAGCTCAATGTCAGCAGTGAAAACTAGGCCAGTTGCTGACTGTGGAACAAACCACCAACAACTAATATTCAAATTGAAATTAAAGTTAAATAAGGTCAAATCAATCCACAGGAATCAAAATTTGACCTGACTCTGTCCCATCTGAACTTAAAAACTAACTCAGGAACATGTTTGAAGGATTGAACACTAATGAACAAAGACCAGAAAAGTTTTAGGAGGATATCAAGAATATCATCCATGAAGAAAGCAAAAGGTCATTACACAGAAGAAAAGAGCAAATTGGATGTCAGAAGAGACTCTGAATGTTGCACTAGAGTGCCAAGAAGCCAAAGCAAAGTGTGTGTGTGTGTGTGTGTGTGTGTGTGTGTGGAAATCAAGAAATTAAGGAGCTGAATAGGTGATTTCAACGGACAGCTCAGGAAGACAAAGCAAAGTATTATAATGAAATGTGCAAAAGAGCTGGAGCCTGAAAATTAAAAAAGCTGAACTCACTCAGCATTTCTTAAGCTGAAGGAACTAAAGAACAAATTTAAGCCTCGAGTTGCAATACGTAAGGATGTTATAGGTAGAATATTGAATGATTCAGGAAGCATTAAAAAAAGATGAAAGGAGTACACAGAGTCACTGTACCACAAAGAATTGGTTGACACAAGAATTTCAAGAAACAACAAATGATTAAGAGGCAATGGTGATGAAGGTGGAAGTTGACGCTGCTCTGAAGGTTTTGGCAAAAAATAAAGCTCCAGGAATTGCTGGAATATCAATTGACATATTTCCACAAACAAATGCTGATCTCTACTTTCTCACCAGGTTATGCCAAGAAATCTGGAGGACAATTACCTGGACAACTGACAGGAAGAGATACATATTTATTCCTATTCCAATAAAATATGACCTGACAGAGTATGGAAATTATCATACAATATCCCTTATATGACATACAGGCAAAATCCGGCTTAAGATTATCCAAAAATGACTGGAACAATACCTTGACAGGGAACTACCAGAAATGCAAGCTTGGCTTAGAAGAGGTTGTGGCACTAGAGACATTATCACCAATGTCAGGTGTATCTTGGCAGAAAGCAAAGAATACAAGAGGAGTATCTATCAGTGTTTCATTGAATATGCAAAGGTATTTGACAGTGTGGATCACAACAAATTGTGGTTAGAGGAGAATGGGAATCCCAGAACACTTGATTGTGTTTATGTGAAACCTATACTTGGACCAGGAAGCAGGCCTCAGAACAGAGCAGGGAAACACTGCATGTTTCAAAATCAGGAAGGGAGTGAATCAGGGATGCATCCTGTCCCCAAACCTTTTCAACCTATATGCAGAACAGATCATTCGGGAAGCTGGGCTTTATGAAGAGGAATGTGGCATCAGGATTGGATGTCGACTCATTAACAACCTACGTTAAGCTGATGACACTATACTTGCTTTCGGAAACTGAAGAAGACCCAAAGCACTTGCTGCAGAAGGTCAAGGACTGTAGTCTTCAATATGGATCGAAGCTAAACATCAAGGAGACAAAGATTCTTACCACTGGGCCAACTGGCATCACCAGGATAGATGGAGAAGAGACTGACGTTGTTAACAGCTTCCGATTGCTTGGCTTCACAATCAACACTCTTAGCACCGGCAGTCAAGAAATCAAGAGATGAATTGCATTAGGTAAATCTGCTTTCAGGGACCTGTCAGATTACTGAGAAGTAAGGATGTCAATCTAGAGACTGAGGTGTCCCTGATCCCGGCTATGGTCTTCACAATTACTTGCTATGCATCAGAGAGACGCACAATGACCAAGTATGACAGAAGAAGAATTGATGCCTTTGAGTTACAGTGCTGGAGAAGAGTCTTGAACATACTATGGATTGCCAAGAAAACAAATACTTCTGTCTTGAAGAGGATGAAATAAAATTTCTCTTTGGAAGCTAGGATTTTGAAGCTCTGTCTCACATACTTTGGGCATGTGGCCAGGAGAGACTGACCCGTCCTTGGTGAAGGACATCATGCTCAGTAGGGTGGAGGGACAGTGCAGGAGAAGACCCCAGATGAGTAACTGATACAGTGACTGGGGCGATGGGGGATAGGGTAGGTGTGCCAGAGTCAGTGAGACTGGCTCAGAATAGGGCAGGCTTCAGAGCTGTTGTATGTAGGATTGCTATGAGTCGCAGGCAACTTGATAGCATAGAACAACAACAATTTTGTAATATATTTTCACTTGATGAAGGAACCCTGGTAGCATATTATCTTACATATTGATCTGTTAACCGAAATGTCAGCAGTTCAAATCTATCTCAGGAAAAATGGTTATTGTCTTCCTATATGTACCCAGGAATCAAACGGAGGGTCCCCATGAAATGGCATCCACTTGATGAAGGTGGTCAGTTGATTTTTAAATAATTTTCACGTTAAATTCACTCTATTATCTATCTATCTATCTATCTATCTATCTATCTATCTATCTATCTATCATCTATCTCACCCTATCTACCTATCTCACTTTATCTATAATCTGTTAAGGAATACTGGTGGCTTAACAGTAAGGAATTACACTACCTTTGCAAAGGTATGTTTCAAACCCACTAGCTGCTTCATGGGAGACAGATGGGCAATCTCCTCCCATGCAATTTATTGCCTCTGAAAACCCAATGGAAGGTCAGACATGAGTATTTTCCACTTGACTATATAACACAACTATAATCTATTACCTTTATATTTTCTTCATAACTATACTGTGACTGTCTGTGTCTATCTTTCATATAACAAAGTATACAAAACAGTACCAAATTATATATTATATGGAGGGCAAGAAATTAATTCACTAGATAAAAATTAATATTGTCTAATAAATCTGCTTATTATTATTATTAACTTAGCATCTTTAAAAGCTTTGCTTGTAAAAATTCCTTCCTCTCAGAGAGCCTCCTCCCTAACTAGCTTCATTGTTTTGGGGTCAATCTATCACTTTAGGGAGCTCTGGTAGTCTACTGGATTAACAGTTGCATTACTAATGCAAAGGCAGGTGGTTTGAATCCACGCATTGCTCCTCAGAAGAAAGATGTTTAATCTCCTATCCTGTGATTTACATCTTCTGAAAACCTCCTGGAGAATCAGTTATGGGTCAGTTCTGACTCAATGGCAATAAATCTGAGGTGTTGTTTTTCAGAGTTTTGTGTTTGTTTGTTTTTTTGCTTTCTATCACCTCAACGTGGTTAATTTTTCATCATAGCACTTTCTCCCTTAAATGGTATTATTCATTTCCACAATTAACACTCTTGTTACCAGCAGTCAGGAAAAGGAGATACATTGCACTGGGAAAATCTGCAGTTAGAGACCTCTCCAAATTATTGAAGAGTAATGATGTCAGTTTGAGGACTAAGGTGCATCTGAGTCAGGCCATGGTCTTTCTGATTACTTGCTATACATCTGAGTGCTGGATAATGAATAAGGAAGACAGAAAAAGAATTGATGCATTTAGAAAAGAGCACTGAATATCCCTTGGACGATCAAGAGAACAAAGATATATATATGTCTTAGAGAGGGTGCAGCAGGAGTGATCTTTGGAGGCAAGAATGATGAGGTTTCACCTCACATACTTTGGGCATGTTGCTAGGAGGGGTTGTTTCTTGGAGAAGGCCAAGATACTGGGAAGGGTGGAAGGTCAGTGAAGGAGAGAAAGACCCTCGATCAGGTAGACTGACCTGGTGGCTGCTGCAATGGTCTCTTGTGTGTCAGAAAGTGTGAGGATGGTGCAGGAGAGGGTGCAGATCTGTTGTTCATATGGTCGCTATGAGTCGTACTCAGCTCTACAACACCTAACAACAACAACAGTTATATCAACCTGGTTAATTTTTTTTCACAGCACTTGCTCCTTATATGGTATTATTTGTTTACTGTCTCTATCTCTCACATTTCATGATGGTGAGGATTACCTCATTCTTTTCATGCCTCTCACAGAACCTGGCACGAAGTAGGGGCTCAGTAAATACAGAATGTTCAAATGAATGAGAAATCAGAGTACATTATTTTACTTTCAGTCCACCAAGAAATACAGTAATTTCAACATTTCTCTTACAACCAGTAGGAAAATCATATAGACATGCATACAACATCATATATATTTAACATGGCTCACTGAGAAAGCATAATTGTTGACAAAAAGTTAATAAGGGTAAACACCTTTGCTATGGAAGTTTTAGGGGCCTCCATGATCTCAGTATTTTGAGAATTTTTTAAAAATATAAGGTAAACGTAGCTACTCATTCACCTTATTCCTTAAGCACCACACGCAAACTGTTATTCCAACATTTACTGTATGTGTAATCATTCTGTTTCAGTTTTATGTCTTTTTGCCTAGAATGTGAGGACCTTAAGAACAGGACTGGTTTTTCATTTTTCTTAAAGGTCTAGTCACTAGGATGGTGCTCAGTATACAGTGAGTGAAAAAAAGAGGTGCTAGAAATAGCTTATCGAAAGGAGGAGTTTTAAACCCTTTGGTGATGAGTCTTCTTGTTAATCTAGATAGCCCTTTTCAACTCTTTTTCTTTCTTCTGCTAATCCTTTGTGATTTCATGGACAAAGCCCCACTAGTGGAAACAACTAAAGAGTTCCTAGCAATATCATGAAAGATGCTGTTTAACTATTGCTTGTGAGAATGAAATATACCATTGTATATTGAAGCACTCATTAGTTCACTCACTCACGTACTGGTAGAGTAGTAATAGGGTATAATGGATGAATTCTGACTTCTGAAGAGTCAGACTTTGCCATTTAAAAGTTAATGACTTCTAGCAAGCCCTTTATCTTCACTAAGACTGTTTCGGTATCTGTAGGACAAGAATGACAATCATTCATATTCCAACTGGACTGTGCCTTGCACACAATAGGTCTCCTACCCCCCCCCTAATATCTTTGTACATATTTCTCTCTTTAAACTCTTTCCTTTCTATAGGGAAAAGATATGGAAAGACCTTTCACAAAGGAAAACATTCAGGTGGCCAACAGACATATTAAGAAATACTCAATATCATTGGCACTAAGAGAGATGAAAATCAAAACCACAATGAGATATCATCTCACCCCAGTAGCAGTAACAAAGTTTAATAGGACAGCAAGCAATAAATGTTGGAGAGGGTGTGGAGAAATTAGGACTCTCATACACTGTTGGTGGGATGGTAAAATGGTACAACCACGCTGGAGTGCGGTTTAGCATTTCCTCAAAAGCTGAACATAGAGATTCCATAGAGATTCCATATGATCCAGCTATACCACTGCTTGTAATATACTTGAAGGGAAACAGAATTGAGATGCAAACAAAGATTTGTACATGATAGTCACAGCAGCATTATTCACAATAGCAAGAACATAGAAACAACCTAAATGTTCATCAACAAATGACTAGATTGAGAAACTGTGGTATGTTCATACAAAAGAATAGTATGCAGCACTCAGGAGCAACGATTTTGAAAAACACTACATAACTTGGGAAAGACTGGAGAGTATTATGCTGAGTGAACTAACTCAGTCTCATAAGGACAAACACTGCAGAAGACCATTATTGTAAAAATAGAAAGATAACTAGTAAAACATATATAGGAACTCAAGGAGGGGAGGGGTGGGAGCAGAGGGGTGAGGATGGGTAGGGTTGAAACCACAGGGATTCACAGTTTAGTGGGTGGAGAAGGGAAGAAAGGAAATGGAAAGGATCCAGGTGAAAAGATGACAGGCAAGGTTCAAAGGTGATTAATTTTATAAAACAAAATGATGAGACTGATTGTACGAAACACAATATGAATGAAGAATAATGTGAAACACAATGTATACCAACTTTGTAAGCAAACCAATAAAAAACCCCAACTCCACCAAAAACCAGGAGGATAACCACTGAGATGCATACAGATATGCAAAGAGGGAAGGGGAGGGGACGGGACTGAGGGTGTGGAGGGGGCAAATCACAGGGCTGAAGAATTTGGTGGGTGGAGGAAGAGGGGGCTGCACATGAGTGAAACACAATTAAAAATATCTTTCCTTTCTAAGCAGTGCCCCCCACCTTTCTCTTCTGAGATAAAAATCCACATTGTCTATTTATGTCATGAGAAGAAAAAGTTATTTTATTGTAAACCTGATTCTGAATCCAGAATGAGTAAATAATGTCTGTATAAATTAATTCATCGAATAACATTGAGCACTGAGCTAGTTATAACCAACAAGGTAGGTATTTATGCTCCCATTTTCTTGAAGAGGAAAACTGGACTCAGAGGTGAAGTGTCTGTGGTAATGTTGGGATTCTAATACAACCCTCTGAGGTCCCAAAGGCGTTTGCTTTCCAACATGTCATGCTAGTCCTTCACAGCCCCTATGGGTTCTTAAGACCACATGAACCCACTTACCTCTGATAAAATGAGATTCCCCTTATTTGAAAGCAAAACCCTTTGCGGCTGCTATGGGCCCAAAGCAAGAGAAATCTTACCATACTCTTCTTATCAGCCTTCTGGATGGTATATCCTGTGATGGCAGCATTCCCATCATCCTTTGGTGGGGTCCATGTGAGGGCAACATTCTCTCCCCAGACATCTTCAATCTTCACAAGCTGAGGTGGGCCAGGACGGTCTAAGAGTACAAAATCACAAAATCTGTGATGCTACAGAACCCAACCTGCAGCTCAGTACACAAAGATAATTTTAAAATGCCTTTCCTTGTATTAAACGGTATATCTGGGTGGTTCATATGATCCATGAAATCAACTGCTAACTGAAAAGCTGAATGTTCAAATCCACCGAAAGGTGCCTTAGAAGAAAAGCCTGAATACTAACTTCTGAAAAGTCAGTCACTGAAAACACTACAGAGCAGAGTTCTGCTATGGCTCACGTGGCGATGCCTTGAAGGTAAAGCATCTCAGTGACAGCTGTGTTTTACTAAGAATAAAAGCCCCTTGGACCACCAGCCTCAGCAATAGCATGAGAAGAAAAAGAGAGAGACCCTTAGCCACTGGGGAACCCTGGCCCAAATCAATCTCCTGAGAGTCTCATATCTTTGGCACAGTTTCCACCCAGTGCCCCAGAGAAAAAGAGTACTTAGACAGCCCATCTTGTCATGTACCATCAATGAAGTATAGTGGCTGTGCTCAGTGTCTCTGCAAAAGGAAGGGTGTTCTCCCAGAAGCCCATTATGAAGTCGTCTCAGACCATCAACTTTCACTAGAATACACATACAAGGCCACTAAGCTGACTCAATACTCCTCTCAACTTAAAACCAAAATGGTTTAACCAATGGAAAAAGAAAATTTAATTAAGTAGCAGGAACTTTTGCCCAAAAGGAAGCTTGCCATAGGAAGTTGTCCCGTTGGTTAAAGAATTCAGCAATTTTACTGAAATAAAAAAGTTAAAAATAACCGGAAACCAAGTTTTTTCCTAGCCCTGCTCTTAAATTTATTTCAAAACATTGCAAAACATATACAACAGTTCACATGAGAAGGGTCTGTCCAGAGAGGATACTTCCTCTATTCCCTTGACTTCAGGCAGAAGTAACAACTAAACTTCTTAGTGACTTGCCCAGATACATAGCCTTTGGGGTGGTAATCGCTTAACTTTGGTTAGCTATGTCTTCTTTACATTTAACACAATTTCCATTCTCCTTTAAAACATTTTATCAGTGAATTTTAGGTATAGTCAGAAACATGTTAAACCATATCTAACATTTGAAGAGTTTTGTACACTATTTAATATAAGAAACAGCTTTGTCTTTACAGTTTTTTAGAAACTTAGAGTAAGAAAGCATATGGATATAAAACAGTTTAGTTTTCACTAAAAATACAGACAGTTATTTGATAATTTCTTTAATAATTCCCCTAGGTTTCCCATGATTAATCATCTTATTCAATTAAAAAAAGATTTTGACATGCTAACTCATCTTATTTCATCTATTTTTTTTAATTCAGAATTTTATGGTGAGCCAATCTAACAGGCATTCTTATGCCTGCCTTTATATTACAAGCACAATTAGTCACATTATTGCTTTGCGGGAGTGCCCACGCTTCATCCTCCAAACTTACCCACTATCTGGATGTCAATGGACGCGCTTTCCACGTATTTGTCCACTTTGACTTGCAGATCATATTTCCCAGAGTGGCTCCTCTCTGCTTTTCTGATAAATATGATTGTATCAGTCTCAGAGTTGCGAATATTTATTTGATTCTTATCTATGTCCATACCGTCCTTCTTCCAAGTTAATTCTGGTCTTGGTTTTCCCTAGGAAGAAAAGCAGGACAAGGAGAAGGGTATGGGAATCACATTTTTGCAATGTGATGGGGGTGGGGGTGGGTTTGTTTGTTTCATTTTACCTGCAACATCACAAAAATAACAGAGGCTTGACTCATTGTAGGCAATTGTAGAAAATAATCTGGTAGTATTCAACCACAGCAGTTACAGTAATTTAATAGTCATTGCTGGTGGTTGATTGCATTTGTGGGCAAGGTGCTATGTTAAAAAAACAAACAAACAAACAAACAAAAAAACCCACCCAACCCATCAACTGGATGGATGGGATCAAATGAGTGGATGGAAAACTATGGGCTAGTCACAACAATGGAATACTATGCAGCACAGAAAAACAATGAACCCATAAAATATTACATAACATGGAGGAGCCTGGAGGACATTACGCTGAGTGTAATATCTTAGTTACAAAAGGACAAATACTGCATAACACTGCTGTTATAAAATAGGACAGATGGGAGGGGTTGGGGAGAGAATGAGAAAAGAGTGGATAGATAATGAACACTGAATTCAAACAGATGAGGGGAAGAACTGTCCAAAAGGAATATATGATTAGAAATTATATGTATAATAATCTGGAACAAGGGGTGCATTTTGGGGAGAGCCAGGAAGGGGAGAAGGAAATGTGCAATGGGGAAAAATTTTTTTCTTTTGTATTATACTAGTTTACTTACAAAATTTGGATACATTGTTTTTCAGACCAGATTCTTCCAATTTCTCTCATTCCCTCACCCATCAAATAGTACAACCCATGATTAATTCCCCATGTCCCCCCACATTCTCATCCCTCTGCTCCCACCTTTCCCCTCACCCCTGGATCCTCACACTCATTCTATAACAATGGCTTTATGCAGTATCTGTCCTTGTGGCACTGTATTAGTTCACTTAGCATAATGCACTCCAGTTCCTCCCAAGTTAGATAATAATTTACAAAATCATTGTTCCTGCATGCTGAAGTATTCCACTGTGTGAATGTACCACCGTTTCTCAATCTATTTGATTGTGGTTGGCTATCAGGGTTGTTTCCATGTTCTTGTGATGGTGAATAATGCTTCTATGAACACTGGTGAACATGTCTCCACTTATTTCCTCAGGGTATGTTCCAAGGAGTGGAATAGCCGGGTCATATGGAATTTCTATGTTCAGGTTTTTGAGGAAGTGCCAATCTACCTTCCAAAATGGTTGTACAATTTTATAACCCCATCAAAAACATATGAGTTCTATCTTGCTATGTGTTTTTTAACAACAACAACAACAACAAAAACCCCACCAAAACCCCAACTCAACCCATAGAACTGCCATAGACTTGATTCTGCTTCATGACAACTATGTAGAACAGAGTAGAACTCTCAAAGAGTGATCGTTGGGTTCCAAACCACTGGGCTTTAGATAGCTGCTAAATAATCCTTTAACCACTATGCTATGAGGGCTCCAAGCAGATAGGTGCTATTATTTCCTTAATCTTTACATTAAGATGGCAGGTGTATGTAATTATTGACCTCAATCTTTACATCAAGATTACTATCTTTGTCCTGACGTTTTAGATAGAAGAGTTAAATGACTTGCCCAAGATCTTGCAGCTAACGAGGTGCTGGAACCAGGCCATACACTCAGGTCTCCCATTACAGTATAATGTTAAGAGCATGGATGGCAGGGCCATGGATTCTGAATTTGGATCTTGACTCCACCACTGATTAGCTGTATAACCCCACTCAAGCACGTTGTGCCTTGGTTTCCCAATCAGTAAAAAGGGAGCAAACACAGTTCCTATTCCATATGACTGTCATAAAGATTGAAATCTTTAGAAAGCTGTTGGCAAACTACATAGGTGTGTTCCTGATGGTCGTGGAGCCTTGCTGGTGCAGGTTGAAGTGCTCAACTCTTAAATGAAAGGTCATTGGTTTGAATCCACCTGCTGTTCCATGGTAGCAAGACTGGGCAATCAACTGCCATAAAGATTGCAGCCTTGGAAATCAAAACAACAAGATACCATCTCAATCCAGTAGCAGTAGCAAAGTTTAACAGGTCAGCAAGCAATAAATGCTGAAGTGGATGCAGAGAGATTGAGACTCTCATGCTCTGCCGGTGGGACTGTAAAATGGTACAACCACCATGGAAGACAATTTTGTATTTCTTCAAAAATTTAATGTAGAAATCCTGCACGATCCAGCCATCCCACTGGTGGGAATATACACAAGGATGTCAGAACTGAGACACAAATAGAAACATGTATACCTATGCTCATGACATTATTCATAATAGCAAGAATATAGAAACAATCCAAGTGCCCATTAACAAACAAATGGATACAAAAACTGTGTTCTATTCACCCAATAGAACATTATGCAGCATTAAAGAACCCTGAATTACCAGTAAAGTACAGCACAACATGGGAAAATATAGAGAGCATTATTTTGAGTGAGATAACTCAGTCACAAAAGGATCAACCTGGGAAGAATTGAGATAAAGACAGTATATGGCAATTACAATTACCAAACAGGATAAGATATACATATCTTGTAATTACCATACTATATATACATACACACACACTGTTTAAAAGGGAAAGGGAAGAAGGGTGTGGAAGCAGGAAGAGGAAATCACTCGGGTAGGAGAGACTGGTGATGGGATGGGAGAGTGATGAAAGGTGCAAGGGGGACTTGAAGAGATGGGGAGATAAAAGTAACAGATCTTAGTACAGTAATAGTACTTAACTGTATGAAACACAATGAAAAAAATAACTGTATGAAACAAAACACACATGAAACGATATATACATAGTAATAATTGTGTAAAAGTGAATGATTGTATAAATAAATAATACATCTTTTTAAAAGATTATAACCTTAGAAACCCCACTCTGTCCTGCTGGGTCGCTATGAGCCAGACTGGTTTCTGAGTATCTGGACACTGATGATTGTCATTCCTTGGCACTGGGCTGTGTATCTCAAACTTGCCTAGAATTCTCCCTACCTGGTGAAACTATTTTTAAAGAGCAGCCTTTTCTGAAAATTAGAATCTCATTCATGGGCATGAATTGTTGTTTATGAAGGAATTTCCTAGCATTGCAGCAGGCACACCCCTGCAGACAGGAAATCAGTTTTATACCATCAGAACAATTATGTTACTGTCAGTATGTGCCATTAAGTTGGAACCAATTCATAGCTGACCCTCCAGCGGGTTTTCAGAAGCTATAAGTCACATAGGAGGATGACTGTCCATTTTTCTTCCAAGGAGCAGCTGATGGATTTGAACCGTGCGGGCAGGCAGCACAGCTCTTTACCTGTAGGCCACCAGAACCCCTCTAAGAATAAGTATATAGTTTTCCTGATATGCTTCCAATGTGACTTGATGATTATTTTTGACCCCTTAGGGTGGAAGAGGAGTCCCTACATGGTGCAGACAATTATCACAATCAGCTGTTAACCAAAAGGTTGGAGTTGCAGAAGGCCATCAGAGGTACCTCATAAGAAAGGCCTGGTGACCTAATTCCCAAAATCCAATCTTTTTAACTACATGGAGCACAGTTCTACTCTAACAGAGAATTTTCATGAGTAAGATTCAACTCCTAAATCAATTAGCTTTGATTACTATCAAGGAATATTTGGGGCATGTTGCAAGGAGGGACCAGTCCTTGGAGAGGGACGTCATGCTCGGGAGGGTGGAGGGACAGCGCAGGAGAGGAAGATCCTGAATGAGATGGACTGATTCAGCGTCAGGGGTAATGGGGGTGGGTGTGTCAGAGACAATGAGATTGGCTCAGGATAGGGCAGGGTTCAGAGCTTTTGTACACAGGGTCACTATGATTCAATGGCACATAACAATAATGATCAAGGCCGTGGGAGACACACAACAAACCCCCTGAATGGAGGCGTGCTCTGACAATCAAATGGGAAATAAAAAGAAAATATTGTTAGAGAGAAAAATATCTCAGGTCTTATTTTCTTTCTTTTTTTTTAAATTATATATCTATATTTTTATATTGGGCGAGTAGAAAAGAAATCAGCCCCAATACTGGGCCCTATTCAGTGGCAGCTTCTTGTTCCACAGGGGTAAGGAAGACTTTGAGGAAATAAAAGCTGTTTGGAAAAATCCAGATGTAGTTGCTTTGTATGTTGTGATGGACAGAAGGGATGAAGTGAAGTGTGAAGGCCCCTTACACCCTCCATCTTGCCTCAGACTATGTCCTGGAATCCTGGGGCGGGGGAAAGCGCCACTCTCATTCTTGCTTCTTGGGATTGTTGACGGCCACGTAGTGGTCAAGAACAACAAGCAGGAAGAGCGACACACCCAGCATGTTGGCGAAGATGGCGAGCTGCACGTCTGTGATCATCCTGACCCTCCGGGCTCGCCTCTGATGCTCGCCTCGAGCAAGTTCCAGGCAGGAGGTCTTATTTTCTTAGATATGCAGCTTGCTATTAGCTCTCAGGGGAAGAAGGGAAGCAAGTTCTCTGACTGCATAATTAAGTGCGGGGAAAGCATTGGATTAAGTAACAGGAGTCATGGCACTAACACATTTACTTGCTGTGTGACCGTGGTCAAGTCACTTTAACTTCTATGATAATTTTTTTTTCTACCCTTTCTTAAGTGGAAGTTAGGAAACCTGCCCTTTCTGATTCACAGGGCGTTTCTGAGGTACACCAGAGAAAATGTTTATAAGAGTTCTAGATACAGCATAAATACAAATAAGGCACAATGAATTTCATCACCACCCTTCCTGGCAGTCAGTCAGCTCCTTGGAAGCCTTGCCTACGTAGCCTCTATTCTCACGACATTTTCTTCTCCGTAACGCACTGATCTATGAGATCTGATGTGGAAACACAGATTAAGCCGAGTGGTGTCAGCGTTGTTGCACTAGTGGGTTGATTGGGCAGCTCCAGTCCGGGACTGACTAAGCCTGCCTTCCAGAGGCCTGTTGGTTCCACTCCTGGTTTTCTATGAGGCCGTGGGTGGAGGGAAGTCAGGGTAAACTCGCCAAGCCGGCTGGCTCAGTCCTGTGCTGTGCTCACACTTTGCATCTTGCCTGGCTTTCATTCTGATGCTGTACACAGAGTGTGTGCACTGCACTGGGTGTGGGTGTGGGTGTGGGTGTGGGTGTGGGTTTGTGGGAAGCCTCATTTCTCAGGCTTGACACCTGAATGCAGGAAAACTGGGCTGAACAAGTTTCCTCTTTGGCTTGACTTTCGTGGGACCCTGAGTTTGAACAGAGCTCTGTGTGTGCGTTCATATGTGCACAAGAGACTTAAATTCAGGGAGCTTTGGTGGCCTAGTGGCAAGAAGCTGCACTGCAATACCAGAGGTAAGTGGTTTGGTACCTGTCAGATCCGATTTGACGGTAAACGCACAAAAAAATAATAAAAATTAATTTTAAAAAAGAGGTTTAAATTTGCTTTGTAGAGGCCTGTTGGCCAACCGGAGAACCATGAGCTATATATACATGTGGGTAGGTAAGTAAAAATGAATAAAAATTAAAGAAAATGAAATCTTCAGTTCCTCAGTCATATTACTCCCCAGTCAAAAGTCTCAAGTGCTCAACAGCCACACTGGGCTGGTGGCCACCATATTGGATAACGTAGACAGAGCACCTTTCTTTCTTTCTTTCCAGAAAGTTCTACCAGAGAGTGATGTCTAGGTTCCTAAGAGATGGGTTGTGTCTAAGTGGCCAAAACAGATCCTTAAAGGTGAAGCCTGATTAACTCTGCAAACACCTCTATCTTTGGCTGGAGCAATGGTTTAATAGTGTTGACTTACTCCAGTTAATCCAGCAAGATTTCAAATTCCAGTAGCCCTCCTTCTGGAATTTGGCTTGGACCGTGGTAAGGAAGTGCATACTGTTTTCCCGAAGGTTACTCTGAGAACTTCACTTACAATGGAAACCACGTTTACAGTGTTAAAGGGCCAAAAAGAACCTTCCAGCATTTCTTCTTTTGGTAGATTGTCACTGTTTCTGCCCTGCTATAGCTGAATTGATTCCAATTCATCGAGACGCTACACAACAGAGTAGAAATGTCCTTCCATAATTTTTGACTCATGTACGTATAACTTGTTAGTCAAATTTGTGTCTTCTAGGTTGCAACACCCCCATGATACATCTTCAAGGATATGA